ATTTTTCCTCGGACATTTGAATTCTCGCGAGATTTCAGGAAGTCTCGCGTGATTTAATATCTGAAATCTGAATGTTCATGAATGGTGCGTTGTCTCGTTTTGTGACTGTACACCACACACTGTAGGACCAAACCTGGTAAATCCATGAGTTTTTATCCTCACGTGTGGGCTCTCTCAGTCTTTGAAAATCGGTCGACTGTTTTAAAATCTTGTAGTGTGACACAGCCTTAACTCGAGACAGGGAGGTGCTAGCTGCACCAAAGTTGAAATCAATAAATGATGTTTACGTGGCCACAATAATTTTACTATTACAATTATTTATCTTTTGACTAGCCCCACCAGACAAGTCAATCCAACCAAYGATGGCTTTGCCAAACTCCGCCAATCAYGCTTAGGACAAACTCCACCCACACAGCCAAGAAAMTCCCTGTATGTACTGCAGAGACCCCTACTTGAGGACAGGAATGATCGAATTACTAATGATAGAAGGAAAAATAAAGTATTTCACAACCCTCTTGAAAACAAGAYTACAGCTACTTTAACCTCTGTCCCGAGTCGTTCTTCAAAAAAATCCTGGAATCCATATAGCTGAGCACAAAAAAACAATTCAATTGATTTTTGTGAGAAATATTATGCTATACAGGCATAAGACAAGGTGATGAAGCAAAAGTAAAAAAAAGCTTCTGATGTCTGATGAGTAAACATAGATCACATTTTTCTGATGATCAGCAGAGGGGCTCGTTTTCAACGTTCAAGCTGCCTTCTCTTGTTCATCAGAGTGGGTTCTGTGGTTCCTTCTCCTCCCACCTCGCAAACCTTTGTCCAAAAAGAACTTGAGGAGAAACGGTGAAATGAAACACATTTTAAAGAATACTAACGAAATGAAAAAAGAAAAGGATATTCTATTTGTGGTTCAGTGAAAAGAATCAAACTGTTTCCTCTCTGTGTGATGTGGCCTCTCCAGAGCTTGTTTCAAAGCTGACTCAGATCATTATGTGAATTACATATTCCAGAGAGTTCCGGTGGTCACCGAGACTCACCGGTGGTTGGAAAAATAAAAGCAGGTTCTCTGGACAGACGTTTATTATCCACCTCCTTCACAATACAGCATTTTCACTCAAAATAAACGGTGCCAAAACACCAACATGTCCAGTTATAAGTGGTGATGCATAGTGGATTATTATCCTCGGCACAGTTTTTTTTAACTATACAGTCATTTTTCGTATTATTTTACACAACTAACAACTAAATTCAAGGTAAAAAAAATTCTCAAAATAAGCATCTGAAATGATAAAGATCATACTGGTTTAATTGAGCTGATAATTTACAGAAGAACCAAACATCTTAAAGAACAAGTGAGTTAAAAYCTGTAATGCCGTAACTGCTAAAACACGACCACAGGACTTTTAAATTTTTTCTTTTTTGGAACATCACTTTTCACATCAGCACTACGKTATCTCAGCACGGTTTCACTGCTGCTCCTTTGTCTTGCTTTCGTATTGCGTAAAAAAATACGAACAACCGCGTGGATCAAACTGTATGTTCGCCGACATCTATTGAAATGAAGCGAGAGAACAAAATAAASGATTCAAGTCAGTCAGTGGGATTGGCACCGTGAGAGTAATGAGGCAGGGATCTCCCTTGTGGTGACACCAGAACCCCCATCTAATCCCAGCACACATGCTAATACAGCATAGAAATTATGGCAAAATACAATACAATGCAATACTGTACAGATTATGCTTCAATACTGATGAAAACCCRTCTGGTTAGTTCTAATGCTGCTTGTCTAATAAAAATTTGTTGCCATTTTTTTCTTTTTTTTAACAGCTGTATAATTGTTTTAATTTAGGTGTTTAACATTAAACAATAAGGCAGTTTATGGTATTGTACATAAGTCACTCTTCAGAGTAAAGAGAGAACCTCCAAGTTTGGGTAAGTTTAACCTCCAGCCTCCTCGCTGTTTAAATGAAACGATGAAGCACAGCCGCAGCGAGCCTTCCTGGGTGTAAACAGGTCCGGTGTTGTTCTGCTGCTGCTACAGCGATCCTCAACGTGAGAGAATTAGTCCGAGCGGCAAAGTGGACCAAACAACCCCACCCCCCAAAAATAAAACAACATATCAAAACATCACCAACAAGGAGGAAATCACAACTGTACATTAAAGGTTAAAATCTAGAACCTTGACGGAGGTTTTCTTTTCATTCACCCCCTGCCTTTTTTCTTTGTGTTCCTTTAAAGTCCAAAGGTCCGAACTGTAGAGAAGAAAGGGCGTCACCGTGGCGGCCCAAAAGCAAATCTGCAGCAAACGGGAAAYGGCTGCTGTCGTAAACTGTTAGTTGCTATCTGCCTTCGAAGCAGTCCAAGTACTCCAGGACGAGGTCGTAGCAAAATCGATACTGGTCCTGGAAAAAAAAAAACCCACACAAAACAAAGACTTTAAAGTGTCTGTGATATCAAATTTTTGAGATAAACATGAATGCATTTTTGGAAAGATAAYATTGATGACATATTGCAAAACAAATTTCATGCCTCTGGAATGAACAGTTGTTGAGATATTTGCATGTGACGTAACAGGAAGTGATGTCAAAGGGGAATGTCTGCATGTAAACAGAGCATTGCGACAACGGCTAACACAGACTGCAGAGAAGATTACATTATTTGAGTCTCTATCAAAAAGAGATGAAGAAGAGTTAAAGTTTAAATGATATTGTTTTAATAAACAAAGACCAAAGATGTTAYTTTATTATTGAGTTCCCCTTTGATGTCACTTCCTGTTTTACTTTGGCTGAGACAAATTCAAAAGAAAATAGGCCAGTTATGTGACAAAATGGGTAAAATCATGTGTATTAGGGCTATTTTATTAAATATAAAGATGTTTTCTTTGACTTTTTGTATTTGAAGTATATGCATGTCACAGGCACTTTAAAAAAAGAAAACGTTTTGTTGAAAAACACACGGTTTTGATTGCTTTCCTACCAGAGACTCCACCATGTTGGGTTTGCAGTTGCGTAGAGTTTTGACAGCRTAAAAGATGTCCACCATGTTCTGGTACTGGATCATCTCCAGGAGGATGTTGCAGGCACAGAAGGTCCCACTACGACCACCACCGTTCCTGTGGGGGGAGAGAGAGTTCTGGTTAAAAATCAGAGATATGAGAGGAGTCGAAGCTTTGAAAATAGATGTTTTCCCCTGCAAGAATTTTTTGCCATCTTCTGTACTGTTTTTTTGCTTTCCTCTAAAATGGTTTTTGCAGTTGTTCAGTTTCTGTTGGCACTGCCTAAAGGAGAGAATAACACTTCATAAGATGTGTTTACTSCTGATCGATCTGCTCAAAGAGAGGGGCTCAGGGTCTCTGTCGAGAGTGACTTCGACCTGTGTTCTGACTTTGCCTGAATTTATCTCAGAATTTGCAGTTTTATTGATAGATCTAGCAGCATCACAGCTAAAAACTGAAGCACAGAAAAAGCAAGGCTCGCAAAATTACAGGAAAAAAAAACCCCAGAGGATTTTAGTGCATTGCCGAACTCTTCACGTAGCAGGCGTTTGACCCATTATACACCGATGTGTCACAGTCTTAAATCGTGACAACCGAAGCACAACCATAGCTGCATACACAATCACAGTGACAGGCCGTGTCATCCCACGACTACAGTCATAACTACAGCGACAGTCTGCCTCGATTAGACTCAGCAGCTGTCGGGGATGGGGAGGGGGAGGGAGGAGGAGACAAGTGAATCAGCTCGTCTGGTTATCTTTCTGACTGAGGTGGTTCAGACTCATGCAGGAGCAGSAACATGCAAAGGTATCCCAACACCTGCTGTGGTTACGAGCAGCAGGATTTCACCACATCACACGTGGGACTGCATCACCACGTGAAGATCTGATAGAACGAAGATGTAAGGGCAAAACAAGATGCAAGGAMACTGAAAAAAAACCCTCTCTGGTAGTGATGTGAGGACTGATCCTGAAATATCGATACCACCGATAGAACTATACACTCTAAAATCGATTYTAAAATCAAAATACTTTCTGAATCAGAATCAGAGGAGATGACACCAGCTCCCCAATTTATTTATTTATTTTTTCTTTTCACAGATGCGACCAATCACATGTGAGGATTATAGGACATGAGTGGGTAAATTTATTCCTCAAAGGYCGTTATTCTGCACGTTTCCCCTTTTTCTCTCCTCCATCTAATTTGAACAAACGGGTGATTAATCGCCCTCTGTAGAACTTGAAAAGGTAATTCAATCATTAAATCAGGTGTGTTGGAGCAGAGAAACTAGTAAAACATGCAGGATAGTGGCACCTTGAGGACCAGAATTGCCCACTCCTTATATACTGTAGGATCATACTATTATATGAAAACAAAGTGGGGGACAGACTGACAATCAGGTGGAACATCTGTCTGCACCCTTAAGGCCTCAGCATGATCCATTAAATAACAATTAAAAATTTGATTAATATATTAAATAAAAGTACGAATGCCTGCTTTTGTAAYGGAACGAATACACAAAATTAGACAATTATAAAGTTTCCCATAAACAAAATGCATTCATATTTGCCAAGTTAAGCTGAAACATGAGGCTACAGATGATAATGAGTTAAGAGCCATGTGGGAGTCGAGAGAAGTTTGGCTCTTTTCAGAGAGCCAGCTCTCATGGAACGCCTCCTAAAGAAGAGCCGGCTCTCTGAAAAGAGCCAAACTTCCCGTCCCCARTATTCAGTTAATAAGAGATGATTGTGATTGTATATATAACTTTAATAACAATACCACTGCTTGGTGTTGGATGTGGTTCGGTTCACTATTTCAGACTGTCATATCCAAGGAAGTAGTGGYTGAACTGCCCGGGGATTTAGCACCGAACTACTTTATCTCTAAAGGGTAAAGCTTTCTGCACTTCCCGGACCCCTGAATCTTCCTGCAGAACCAATATGAAGATGACATTTGCAGTTTGGAGTGAAATGTCTTCACAGCTTCCAGATAGCTTGAGCTCCAACTCAGAATGAAGAGGATTCCTTGGTTTGATCAATAAACGTCAATCCCTCATCACTTCAGCATGTGTGACACTTTCCTTCAGGGCAACAAAATTCAGTGAGATCTTGATGCTGAAAGCCCGTGTTTAGAAATAGTTCAGCTTCTTTGAAGGTGAGAGGAAAGGTGTTGTTCACAAGAGCCACACTTCTGTATATGTAAGCTACGTACATGTTTCCACACATACAGTAGGAGGAAGAAGACAAATAGCTGGTGCTCACTTACAGCCGCACACAGAGGAGCATCATACGACTGACTTCAAAGTTTCCACCAAACTTGAAAACGTTGAAGGGAATTATGAGGCACCAAGTGTAAAATAAAATGTTAAAAACACATTTTCATTATTTAACTCACTTTCTGAGTGTAAAATCCTAGTTAAAACATGCCCATTAACATTTTATTATTTAGCTCACTGTTCTTACATTTTGCTAAATTTTACTAAATGTCAAATTCTAAATCTAAATGTAAATGTTAAATATTGAATGTTGAAAAATTGGAAATTAAAAATTGAAAATGTTAAAAGTTTACATTTAAGAAATTCAGAATGCAACGGAGACTTTGCGGTTGGTGCTCAGCTCTTGTTATGACATGATGATGACATCAGCCTGAGACAAAAGCAAAYGCTAACACTCAAACGCTGCTAATGCTGCTAATGCTGCTAACACTTCCCTTTAAGACACCAAACTTACAGCTGCAGCCGGTGTCTGAGCTGCACTTCAAACAGCTGGATTACAAGTATCCAATCCATATTGTTTTAAATGACCGCATTTTAAATTTCAATTTTAAATGCCACTTTCAGCAGCGTTAGCAATGTTAGCGGTTCCTTTTTTTTTTCAGCAAGTGACTCCTAACCTAACCAACCCTTACTAACCTGGCCTAGACAAAACTAACCAACAAACCTACCTAACCCACCCAACCAACCAACAAACCTACCTAACCTAACCAACCAACAAACCTACCTAACCTAACCAACCAACAAACCTACTTAACCTAACCCAACCAACCAACAAGCCTACATAACCTAACCCAACCAACCAACCAACCAACCAACCAACCAACCAACCAACCAACCAACCAACTTAACCCAACCAACCAACCAACCAACCAACCAACAAACCCTACCTAACCTAACCCTACCAAACAACCAACCAATAAAACAACCAACAAACCTACCTAACCTAACACAACCAGCCAACCAACAAACCTACCTAACCTAACCCAACCAACCAACCAAACAACAAACCAACCAACAAACCTACCTAACCCAACCAACCAACCAACCAACCAACCAACCAACCTAACCTAACCCAACCAACCAACCTAATCCAACTAACCAACCTGACCACCAACCCACCAACCAACCAACCAACCTAACCTAACCTAACCTAACCTAACCAACCAGTGTAAATATTTTGTTTCTTTGAGGTCTGAGAAATTGTACGCTCAGGACTTTGAAGAGTGATTACTATTTCAAAAATAATTGAAAAATTGCATCACAACCCTCTGAATCGTAATCATATAGAACTGTGAGGTGCCTAATAATTCCTGTCCCTTACTAATCATTAGACAATCTGTGTACAGATGCTACTTCTTTTGGTACCACATTTATAACCAAGTTGTGTAGACGGTATCAATATACATAAATAGATTTACCTCTCCAGAGGGAGAAAAGAGGCTTTTAAAATGCTTAACTTAGTTCTAGAAGACAATAATCAAGTTTAGGAAAGGTACATCTGTGTAATCTGATAAAACGGTTTTAACACTTCATAAAAACAGCAATTTGATACATCTCTTACAGCACAGACAAGCTATAAATATAATACATTTATAGC